AAGCTGAATTCCTGACATTGCAGGTCAACACAGGCTTCTGGAGCTAGAGGTGGTCCTATGGTGACAGTTCCTGTTAAGAGCCATACTGCTGCATGGGAGTTGCTTTCCTACCTTAGCCTTGTGCCTGGAATCATGCCCCAACTGACTGCACCTGACTGACCCTTAGCTGCACTCATTCCTCCTCTTGTTTTTGTTCCCTTTCTTTCTATTCAATTCAAAAAAAAAATCTTGGGTGTCTGTTTTGTGAGAGGTAGAGAAAGTGGCCGGGTATACAACATAATTGTATAAAGCTCTTACCATATAAATCATCTTTCCCAGTTCTCAAGGTGACTCTGCAAAATGCACCGTGTTTTACAGACAGAACAGCTGAGGGGAATTAAGTAATTTGACCAAGGTCACCTAGCTAGAAAAGGTTCCTAGTTCTTCCAAAATCAATACATTTTCATACTTTAGTCAGCCTTTTATTGAGCACCTATTACAGGCTGGACCCTTAGTGCCTTCCTACATGTTTTCTTCTGTTGACCCAGTGAGGTACACACTAGTTCCCTTTTATGCATGAGAAATGGTCACAAATAAGCAGCAGATCTAGGCTTCAAACTCATTCTTAGGTGCCTCCCTGAATGGAAAGGGAGAGTGGGATATTTTGAGCCCAGAGACTCCATACTTCCTACTTCATTCATAGACCTCACCTTGAGGGTGGTCTGAAAAATTTGTCAGATACGAAGATGAACATTAGAGAGAGATGCAGGCAGGAGCAGGGGGGTGGGCCTGAGCTCAGTTCCTTCCCTGCCACAGGCCACATGTTGAGCGGCCATCACTCTTGCACACGTTCGGGTTAGAATTTTCTTAAAGAGGCTGTACCTCCACTCTGGCTCCTTCAGCTCTCCATGCCATGTGCCCTCCGAGTTAATCTCTTAACAACTTCCCCTGCAGAAAGGGAGACCCTGAGCTGGAATGCGCCCCAGGTGGCCATAACCCCCAAAAGCTGCACAGTGGAAACTGGAGTCTGCCATTTCAGTGCAGTGGGTCATTTTATGCTTAAAAAAGTCTCCAGGAACCAATCCCCCCTAATGAAAAGGCAGCAAGAGAGTGGTTATTTAGATTTTAACAAAAGCAGGATTTTAAGTTTCAGTCACTGAAGGTAACACCAATCAAAGACGATTATATCAAAGATTCTTTATCCTGGCCAAGGGGTTCCCAAGCTAGGGTGTGCATCAGAGTCACCTGGAGGGATTGTGAAAGACTGTTGGCCCCCGTCCACAGAGTTTCTGATTCAGCAGATCTGAGATGGGGCCCGAGAATTTGCATGTCTAACAACGTCCTGCATGATGCTGAGGCTGCTGGTCTGGGGGCCACACTCTGAAAACTGCTGCCCAAAGGTCTTGCTACTCAAAGTGTCCCCAGACCAGCAACATGGGTATCACCTGGGAGTACTTAACAATAAAGCATATTGAACCCCACCCCAGACCGTCTGAACCGAAATCTGCTGTCTGACAAGATCCCTGGTGATTCCTATACACATTAAAGGTTGGGACACATAACTCCAAGGCAGTGCTTTCCAGACTTGCCAGTCAAAGGAATCTCTTAATGTGTTTAAAAGTCAAATTCCTATGCTGCTCCTCTGGTGACTAGGATTCAGGTGTGGGAGCATCTGGATTCTGAGACTAACAAGCCCCTCAGGTGGTGGTTATGATCAAGTAAGCATAGGAAACTTGCTTATTTACCTCAGTTCTGTGTTCCTTGAGCAAGACCAAGCTGCTAAGCCAGGAAAAACCCCCTCTGTCCAGGATCATGACAAGGCAGCCGCTTCTCCCCCAGAAAACAGGAACTTGGGGAAGGTGGCTCCTTGATGGTCTGTGATGCCGTCAGAGGAAATGGGTGGTTGTGAGAACCACAGAGTCTGCAGCTATGAGCTGGGAGCTCAGAGAGCGCTGAGCCTTCTTCCCTGGTCCACCTGTGGTTGGGAGGTTCACCCAGTCAGGGCTCCAGCCCCATTCCAGGTGTACAAACTGCTGACCACAGGCAGCTACGGAGCTACCCAAAGTGATACCAAGAGCCTCTCCTTGAAGATTCTCCTAGGCCAAGAGGGCCCTGGATGTCCTAGGACTAAGGATGTTGGCAGACTTCCAGAAGGGCCCCCCAAGGCCCTAACCTCTCCAGCCAAGGCGAATGTATTAGCTGACCCCCCACTCCAAGCCTCTAATGACAGGAAACAAGTAAGTATGCTTGTTTTTGTTTTCTGATGGCCTTGGGAAAGGATGGTCCCTTCAGAGACTGGGAGTGGGCTTTACAGTTGGGGAAAGAAGCTCAGGGAGGAGTGTTTCCGCCGAGGCTGTCAGAGGGGTGATTTCTAAGGGTCCCTGAAGAAACCAAGAGTTCCCTCATCCATCTGTGTCCTCCTGAGAATTACACTGTTCCCTCTGGCTTGTCCGTCCACATGCCCAGTCTAGTCCCATCTCAGTTACAAGCTTGCTGTGTGACTTTGTAGCCCACTCAGCCCCAGCCTCCCAGCTTCAGTGTATGAGAGGAGTCTGGATCATAATCTCTGAAGCAACTCCAGAGTTGTCAGCTCCTCTCAAAATGGTGATATTTTTCAATCGAAAGGCAGGTGCTCAATCCAAATTCATCACTCTTACTCCACCACTGAGAAATTATCCTCTGAACCACAGAAACACAAAGGTGGACTGAAAACTCTGCTCTGACCGGATGAGCTGTGTGACTGAGCTCGGCGCTGGGGCCGCACCCTCGGGGCCCTGGATCTTGCGTCTGAATGGGGTTCAAATGCCACTCTCTAGATGAGATGGTCAAAAAACAATTGTGGGCATTGTGCTGATCTCAGCTGCTTTTTACTAACTCCTTCTAACCACTGGCTCAGGTCCCCTAGAAAGTGCCTAATGCATAGTAAGTTGGCCAAATTCTTATATAATTAATAATTCTTTCTCTTCAAAGTGTTGGCCAACAGCTTCTCCTCCTAGGCCTGCCCACCACGTGGTCTTCGTTTTGCCCGCGCTAGGCTTGCTGACCCCAGCAGGTGAAGGGAGGTAGCAGAGGGTACTGGGGGCTCCCAGCCTGAGTGCATTTCTGCCTCCAGGCCCATCCCCCAGCTCCACCTGCAGCGGGAAGTTTCTGGGTTCAGCGCAGTTGGTAATTGTGGTGACTTTATCTTGCTGAAGGTGGGGAAAGGAAACCTTTACTGAGCACCCCTTCTGTACCAGGCTCCTCGACTTCTCCCCTTAGCCCTGTGGACTCAGTGTTCTCTCTAATTCACAGATGAGACTCGGGAAAGTTACATGCTTTTTCTGAGGTCACATGGCTTCAGCCTTGTCGGCCTAAATTAATCACTTGTGCTGCCCAGGAAAGATCTCCCGTGTGAGTCTGGATCCATGTCGGAACAGTTAAACTTAGAACCTGTACCTCATACTCAAAGGGCAAGGCTGGGGAGCAGCAGGAAGGTTGAAATTCTGACCTCCTGAGAGGGTGCTTTAGTAGGCGGGGAGGGAGCAGCAGACCTGAGGAGACAGCAGCACCACCTCAGGCTGCCAGGGCTTCAGGATCCCAAAGTCAGCAGGAGGTGGCTGCCCGGAGCCATTTCCTAATTGGGCCCGACCTCCAGTCCCACCAATCCTGAGTTCCCTGTGAGCAGCAGCAGAAGCAGGTACTGTTATCCCCATGTCAATGACACGAGACTGCAGAACCGAAGGGAGATCCCTTGCACAGGTCATTGTTCCCTCCTCTAAGGCAGGATCTTTACTCCCGACAGGACTGGACTGTGAGGCCATGGAGGTCGGTCAGTGCTAGCGACAGACAGCTCACCCAGACATGGCGTCAGCCTTCAAAGGCAAGGAGGAACCTGCCGCATCACCAAACTAGTGTAATTGCGCCTGTCTCCACTCAAAAGAATGAAACTACCTCCCCGAAACACTTTAAAATAGTGTTCGGAAAAATCAGCATGACCCTGGAAAACAGGAATTTAAATTATTTTAAGGATAAGACACCTGTTCAAAGAGCTAATAATTATTTTTGTCCATTTAGTTAATGTGTTTTGAGGGCCTTCTATGGGCCCCAGCCCTCACAAAATGTTGAGAAGACAGGCAAAGAGAGATCCTGTCTTCATTGAGCTATGAAGTAATGGCATATTAAACAAGTAAAATCTTTAATAAATGAATAATTAAAATGGGAATGAATACAAGACGGAGCCAAGAAAGAAAAGAGAAGGCTCCCAGGAGCAGCCTCTGGCGGAGTAGCACCCAAGCCGTGGCCAGGCTTTCACACATGGTGTTATCTCTAAGACCCGTATGTTAAGTATTGTTATCCCCATTTTTCAGATGAGGAAATGGAGGCAAAGAGAGAGGAAGTGGCTTGACAGTCAATCTTCCAAAGCCTTGCAAGTCATCACTGTGTCATACAGGCCCCCCCACCCCCTGTCATCCTGCTTTGCCCTGTGACACCAATAAGCTTTCTCAGGTCACCTTAGCTTGTGATGCCAGATCCTCCTTGCCCGCTTCTAACCCGAGCCATGGGTGCTGGACTACCTGGAGTGAACTCTCTCCTGTCATTGTCCCTTGTCACACAGTAGCAGAATGTGGTTGTGAGTAGGCCATGGAATGACCAGTGAGGGCTGTGGGATTCAGGGAAAGCTTCCTGGGATAGGGTGGGATCAAGATAGCCCTGAAGGGGAAGAAAGGGTGCTCCAGCCAATGGCAGGGTACGCCACACACAAACAGGCCGAGAAACAGGGCGGAGCATAGCTGCAGCATGGTAAAGATGAGAGAAAATGGGGTCCAGCTTGCAGAGAGCCTTCAGAGTCAGGAAAGGGGCTGGAAACTGGTCCCGACAGGAGGGAGATTATTTGCATGCATCCGCAAGGAGGTCAGCAGGGCAGAGCCGGGGAGAGAGGATGTCTGGGGACTGAGTAGGCCTGGAGCCACAGCTCTGTCCCCATCACAGCATCTCTTTCAGATTTCTCGACAATGTGCTTCTGAGAATTCTGCTAGGAAACGATGGGAAGTCAACCCAGCAGGGGGAAAACCCTGCCAAGCCCAAGCACAAGCCCCTCTGTCCAAGACCAGGGCCCTCTACCCATGCAACCAGGTAAGCTACAGGGCCCAGGACAGCCCCCATCTTTCCCAGGCACCATGAGGCTGCACAGCCTTCCTGACCAGCCACTCCACATAGCTTCAAGTGTCAGTGAGTGCCTGCTGTATACAGGCCCTCCCTGGTGAGCCAAACAGGCAGGGCCTTGCTCTGGTAGAGCTTACATTTTAGCAGTCAGCATTAAACAACCTGGTAAAGTGGAAAATCTGAGAATGACAGGTGCTAAAGAAGAGGGTATGATAGTCCCCCAGACGTCTTCCAAGGCTTCCTTCCTCCACAGCCAATTCATCGGGAAACTAAGACCGATCCCACTTCTGTAGCTCTTCATACCTGCACTGTTCGTTACAATAATGGGTACTCATATGCAGCTATTTAAATTTAAGTTAAAAATAATTTAAATGAAATAAAATTAATTATTCAGCCCCTCAGCCACACTAGCTGCATTTCCAGCGCACAAAGTCATATGTAGCTGGTGGCTACCTTAATTGGGCAGAAAATTATAGAACATTTCCATCATCACAGGAAGTTCTACCAGAAAGTGATGCTCCAAAGTCTCTTCTCTTACCATGAGAGGTACTGTTAAATACTTGAAGCAAAATTAGAGCTATGACAATTGGAAAAAAATAGCTCATACAATGCATGTGCTGAACCTATAGTTGTTATTTTCTAAGGTAGTCCTGACTAAAATGCTAATTTTAAGGAAAATTAGACAAAATAAATTCTAATATTTTGATGTCAAAGCTACAGCCCCCAGTTTGTTTCTTGTTCCCCAAAATAGCTCACAAATCCTTTCTTAAATCACCCCGATTTGGGGTTTTGATAATGTATTCATCTGAGCTCTGAACCACAGAACCAATGGCGTGTGTGTGTGTGTGTGTGTGTGTGTGTGTGTGTGTGTGTACCCAAAGGATTTATTTTAAGAAACTGGCTCAGGCAGCAGTGGAGGCTGGCCAGTCTCAGATCTGCAGGGCAGTCGGGCAGGCGGGCAGCCTGGAGACCAGGGAAGAGCTAGTGCTACAGAATCCCAGAATTATGTCTGGAGGCAGAATTCCCTCTTCCTCAAAGGACCTCAGTCTATCTCTCACAGAGCCCTGACTGACTGGAAGAGGCCCACCCGCACTGTGGAGGGTAATCTGTTTTATTCCAAGTCTACTGATTTAAATGTTAATCTTATCTAAAAGAATACCTTCACAGCAGCATCTAGACTGTGTTTGACCAAGTATCTGGGGACTGTGGGCTAGCCACATTGAGCCATAAAATGAACCATCACAGATAACAAGAGTACTCTAAACCGAACAGCAGCGCTTGGAGGAGGAAGGACGGGGACACACACCTGAACAGAACTAGGAGACTGCAGAGCCAAGTGTCCGCGCGAGTGTTTGGGCAGGAGCTGTCTGAGTTGGAAAACTCCCCTACAATGTCTGGGGCTTCCTTGGCTTTCTGCAGCCCCTGCCCCTATATCATCTCCCTAATACCAGCCCTCCCAGGCCCTACAGGCATCAAACCCCAAAGCCCTAGGTCCTGTAGCCACTCCGTGTGCACAGAGAGCCTGGGGCCCAGCAGGCTAAGCAGGAAGAGACCTGGAAACCACATAGACCTTCACCCCATTTCCTCTGAATCTAGCCACAGGCAGCGGCCCCAAGGCTGCTCTGAGTCATGCCCAGGCTGCTGAGGCAGGGTGACCCCCGCCCTTCCCCGCCACCCTTGCCCCCCAGCCCCCCGCCCCCTACTCCCCGCCATGCAGGTGTCCTGCCTTCAGAACCTGAGATGAACTGTGTTACCCCCTCTGCCAGGGTCTCGGGAAAGGACGGGCCTCTCTCGGTGGGTTTATCTCTGGTCCCAGCAGAAGCATGGATTTTGGGCAACCCTTCAATGAGTCATCTGTTTGTCCATCAACTTTTCATCCATCCAAAATCTAAGGCTTTTGAGCCAGACCTTGTGCACACACAACCACGGTTCACAGCAGTGGGCAAGACAGGCACAGTCCCTGCCTTCAGGGACACTCCAGTCCCAGAGACAGGTGCTTAACCAATAATCAGCTACATTGGGTTAGATTTTGGCACCAATGTGTATGAAGGGATTCTGACCAAGAGTGTCTTCCCGGGGGGGGGGGGGGGGGGGGGGGTTTGTCAGGTAAGGCTTCCCAAAGAAAGGGACATTTTACCTGGAGAGTGAAGGAGGAAGTTGAGGCAGCCGGGGGGAGGGGCAATTGAGAGGACAGCCCACCCGGCTCAGTGGTCCCAGAAGGGGAAGGGGCCCTTCCTGGCTGCCTGGTTCCACCTTCATTGTAGGGTGCCCTCCACAACACTTAGTGGCTTTATTTATTCAGGCACCAGGCATTCCTTGCACCATGGGATGGCCAGGCCCTGTGTCACAGATAGTTCAGAGAGGGGCCCCCAGACTCTGAAGAGATCCTGTCTGGGGTCACCACAGGGATCTCCATGGGTGTCTGAGAGGACATGTGGGAACCAGCCCAGGGTGCCTGTGGGGGGGTTGATGGTGGGATCCCAGATTGTGCCCGACCTCATGTGTGGAGCCAGGGCTGGCCAAGAAGGTGACCATCTCTGTCCCTCCATCCAGAGAGGAAAAGGGCCACAGCCGTGGCCTTGGGCAGTTTCCCAGTAGGCGAGCAGGCGGAGCTGTCACTGAGACTGGGGGAGCCACTAACCATCATCTCTGAGTAAGTCATTCCAAGGGCACCATGGGGATGCTCTGCTCTCTCCCCCGATACCTGAAGACGGACTGATGGGAGAGAGGGCCAGTCTCCGGGAGAAAGCAACATTGCCTTGGGTGCCAAGCTCCCATGTGGCCTTGATGGTGGGATCTCAGGCAGCGTGACACTGCCCAGCTCTCTGTAGGGAGAAGCAGTGGGTGGGCCGACCATACAGGGGCCCTGAATCATACCATCTACTGCCCAGGCGGTACCTGGACGGGTTGGTGCAAGAAAACCTGGGAAATTTGGGTGGGACCCAGCCTGGTGGTCCCTCAGGAGCAGTTCCTGGGGCCTTGGCCCTTCTGAGAGGGGTATCCCTCCTCTCCCTCTGCAGGAACGGAGACTGGTGGACGGTGGTGTCGGAGGCCTCAGGCAGAGAGTACAGTGTCCCAAGTGTCCACGTGGCCAAAATCTCCCATGGGTGAGTCCTCACTCCAGGCCCTGCCTTAGGGGACCTTCCTGCTTTCTCTTGCCACAAGTGTAGTCTTTTATGCCTAGTCCTGGGCTGAGCAAAGCTGGGGATGGGAGAATCAGGCCCAGGCCCTGCCCTCAAGTGGAGCGGAAAGCTCACTCTCCCAGGCTGGTGTGCAAGGCTTGGGAGCCAGAGGAGGAGGCTGGGTGAACACTGAAAGGGATTTGCAGGAAGAGGAGCAGCCTGAATAAATGTGCTGAGGCAAGAAAACAAGGGGCAGTGCCTCTTGTCAGGGCCTGCCCTTCTGCGAGGTGCCTCTGAGGGAGGGCCAGACACAGGACACAGGGCCTCCTACAGAGCAGGAGCCATCTGTCACCAAAAGTGAGTGACAGAAGGAATCGGCTCCAGAGCAAATTCTATGCCGGGAGAGAGACAGGAAGTAAACTGCTTTCAGCGGGATCTGAGTAACACAGGATCAGGAAGATGTTCCTGTACAGAGGCACTGCTGTGACAGCAGCCCTTCAGTTCTGAGACAAAGTATGGCTCCAGCCCTGGAAGGCCTCCCTGTTCGGCGGCTCTGATGAGGTTATTAACCCAGGGATCCTGCAGTGTACGGACGACCTCACGCAGAGGTGGTCTGCAAGCTGGGCGGAGCCCTCCTTGCCAAGCGTGTCCTGGGATGGCCTGGCAGGAGGTTTCACGCCCACAGCGTGGCACTGAGTTTAAGTCAAGGAACACTGGCTACCTGCAGGAGTCCCCTTCCCTTGCTACTCCTTCACGGACATCCTCAGTGTCCATAAGACATGACAGTTTTCCTAAGTCAACAAGAATGACTTGTTTTATTTACTATAAAGAGACTAAGTTTGCTGCTGCCACCAAGTGAGGCACAGCTTCTCTAATTTATTTACATGGAATCAACTCAACCCTGACTCTGGCTTTGACTGTGGAATTTCACAACATGACACAGAGGCCGCCATTTCCATTGAATTGGCTTCTGTAGGCCTTCCTTGGGATCACAGGGTGTGTGAACTGGGGCCTTAGGAGGCTGATGGACTAGGAAAACAAAAAATTCCTGCAAAACTACCCTGGATTTCCCATTACAGTTAAGTTATGTAGACAGATGAAGGGTTAAGTGAAAAGAGGAAGGAAAACATGGGATCAGAGTAATCAAAATCCCAGCATGGGAAGGCACTGAGGAGCAGGGCTGTAGAAGGGCTGTGTTTTGGAAGGCACACATAGTGATCAATGAGCTGCATGATATTTTCCAAAATTTTAGATGTCTGGCCGTTGCTGAGTAGCTCAGTTGGTTAGAGCGTCATCCTGACATGCTAAGGTTGCAGGTTTGATCCCTGGCCAGGGCACATACAAGAAGCAACCAATGAATGCATAAATAGGTAGAACAACAAATCAATGTTTCTCTCTCTCACTCTCTTTCTCTTTCTCTCTCTAAAAATAAATTTAAGAAGAGTTTTAGATGTTTTGAATATTCAAGTTTCAGCCTTTCTGTCCACAAATCAGCTTCAATGCGAGTTATGTTTCAGTAACAGTGAATAAAGTTTCGCCCGCATACCTTTGGCTACAAAGTTAAACTTTTAAGCGTCCAAGTAAAATATTTGCTAAAATTAAAAATACACACACACCCAGGCAATTCTTGGAAAGGCGAAGGCTTGGGAAGGTGAGTAGCAGAGCAGTGGTAGGAGACTTGGCAGTGGTAACAAAAAGGCCAGGATCTGCCACCTTGCCCCCAGCTCCCTGGACCCTTGGGAATGAGATCTCCAGGCAGAAAAGGCTGGAGCTGACCCCATGAGGTTGTCCTCTGAGGCCCCTGGAAGCAGGACCAGGAAGACAAAGCTGAGGAGCCCTCAGAGACTCTGAGGCCAGTTCTTCATGGTCCAGGAGGAACTCTGGGGCCCGGGGAGGGAGGAGGGGTTGTGTTCGCATCTTGGCCCACTCACCCTGAGCCTGAGCCTTTCTCTGCTTCCTCTCCAGGTGGCTATATGAGGGCCTGAGCCGGGAGAAAGCTGAGGAACTGCTGTTGCTGCCTGGAAACCCTGGGGGGGCCTTCCTCATTCGGGAGAGCCAGACTAGGAGAGGTAGGTAGCTCAGCGCCAACCTGGGCTTCTCTCTCGAATGCCAAGGGCCCAGTGTGATGTGACTGGGGGAAGAGGTTGGGGGCCAAGTGCGAAGGGATGGAGTCAGGCAGTCCAGCTGCTGCTGTTGCTGCTATGAGAGCCCATGAGCCGCTGAGCAATAACCCGCATTTCTGATGGGGTGCGAGTGGCCCATAGTAGGGAATCCAGGCTCAGCAACACGTGGCAACTCGCATAATAGAGTATGATCACAGGATTCCCTTCCCTGACCAACAATGATTTCTCCCTCCATTAGAGACAGCACAATCCTGACCTCTTGGCAGAAAGGTGACAAACTGATAATGTCTTTTTACTTTGGAGCACCAGCCAGTCACAGTCAGAAACCCCACAAGAAGTCATCTTGTGATCTTGCCCTCTCAACTTTTTCATGGAGAAAGAGGCCTAGAGAGTCATAGGGACATGTCACATTGCATATTCATATGGGACGTCTCCCACCTCAGGTGCAGGGCCTTTGCAAACGAAACGCAAAGCTGAGGAGCCTATCTCTGATGCCCTTGGCTCCTTCTGAGCTGCTGCCCTCAGGCCCTTACAACAGAGGCAGAGAGAGCAGTTGAAGGAGTGGCAGCGTCCACATCCCTGTTAGGCCCTTTCAGTGCCTTCAAACAACACTGTGGGGGTTGTTTTTCCATTGTCTCCATTTTACAGGTGAGGAAACTGAGGCTTAGAAAAGAGAAACGATTTGCAGGTGGAGACACAGCTAAGAAGGGCAGAGCTGGATGGGATTCAAACCTGGCCGGGGTTCATCTCGCTTTAGACATCCAAGAAAGGCCCACATGTGACAATAATGGTGGAACTGCAAGCACAGTAGTGGGCTGGAGAGGTGGTATTCAGAAGTGAGGACCAGCCTCCTGTCCTCGTTCTAATTTGAACCAGATGTGATAGGCTGTTGGGGTCCTTTGCTCGCTCCTCAGTTTCCCTCCTGGGGCTCCTCCAGCGCGTCCTTGCCTGGCCTCTCCTCCCCTTCCTTGGGGAGCACCCTGGGTTGACCCTCCCTCAGCCCCTCCTGCTATTTTGCAGGCAGCATGAGCATCCCACCCTCACACATACGCATAGGCTTTCTGGGGTGGGGGCTGGGTCCGAGTGCTGCAGCTGCAAACAGGAAACCACAGTGGTGGTGCTGACTTGGGTCAGGAGAATGTAGACAGGTGTGCCCAGTGAGCACTGAAAGCCACAGGAAGTGTTTCAAGCTCAACTCCGTCCCCCTTCTCTGGCCTGGTTCAACCCCAAGAACATACTGACCAGCCCTATCGCCTCTCTGCCGCTTTCCTAAGAAGGCACATACAGGTGAGAAAGGAGAAAGCAGTTGAGGATCCACATTGTTACCGGGATTGTTAGATTTGACTCTGAGCTCCCCCATAGTCAACACCATGGGGATAAACCAGAATGCAGCTCTCACTATCAGAAAAGGAGAGGTTTACCAATACTGGAGGAAAGGCAAAAATTTCCCTGGTACTAACCTCTCACCTCTCATCTGGCTTCCTTTGGGACAGTTTGTCAGGCTGGAAGCCATTACTCATTTGTGGACCAAGAAATCAGTTTAGTTCAGTTGATAGTGACCAGTAGGTCTCAAACCTGGGCAAGCAGCAGAATCATCTGGAAGGCTTGATAGAATAAAGAACTGGCCTCACCCCCAGCAGTTCTGGTAGTTCAGAGGAGAGCCCTGAGAACTTGCCTGTCCAACAAGTTCACAGGTGCTGCTGCTGCTGCGTTTACTGCTGCTGGTCTGGGGACCACACTTTAAGGATCTCTGATCCAAACCTTGGCTGCATGTTGGAATCATCTGGGGGAGCTTTATAAACTACTGATGCCATCACCCACCCCCAGAACTTCTGACTTAATTGTTCAAGGGTTTAGCCTGGGTCCTGGAATCTATAAAAGCCACCCAGGTGATTCTTTGTTTTGCCTTTCTGGTCTGCATGTTCATCCGTTTGTTTTAGATTCCAGATATAAATGAAATCCTATAGCACTTGTCTTTCTCTGACTTATTCACTCAGCACAATACCCTCTTGGTCCACCCATGTTGTTGCAGACGGCAAGATGTCATTCTTTTTCTTTTTTATGACTGAGTCATATTCCACTGTATATCTGCACCGCTTCTTCTTCATCCATTCATCTATTGATGGACACATAGGTTGCTTCCATAGCTTGGCTGTTGTAAATAATGCTGCAATGGACTTTTTGATTTAGCTGATTCTGAGGTGCAGCCAGGGTTGAATCCCAGAACCCTGTAATCCACTGATTTAGTGGCTCTGGACCAGAGAGTGAAATGAAATACAGCAGAAAACATTAGAGGGCATCACTGACGTTGGGGGAAATATTGCTTTCATCAAACTTTTGTTTTTGTCCTGGGTCATAGCATAAAATTTCATACTGTGGTTTGTGGTCAAAAAGTTCAACACCACAGCTCTTGGGGCCCTAGTGACATCCTGGAACAGTGCTTCTCAGACTTGAGTGTACAGGAATCGTCAGGGAGACTTGACAGTGCAGGCTCTTTTTTAAGTTATGCTGTCATAGATTTTATTTATTTTTACGGAGACTGGAAGGGAGGGAGAAAGGGAGAGAAACATCCAATGTGTGAGAGAAACCTCAGTTGGTTGCCTCTCGCATGCCCCCAACTAGGGAGCTGGCCTGCAGCCCAGGCATGTGCCCTGACCAGGAATCAAACCAGCGACCTTTCAGTTTGCGGGATGATGCCCAAGCCACCAAGCTACACCAGTCAGGGCAGTGCAGACTCTTGAGCCTCACCTCAGACCTACTGAATCAGTCTGTTAGACACAGAGGTCAGAAATCTGCTTCCTTCACAACACCCCTGGCCCCCAATTGTTCTTAAATTCTTTTAAGTTTGAAATCACACTTCCATCCAGGGAAGCCAGAATTAAGTTACAAGAGACCATGTGTTTTATGTTACAGTGCATCTTGTCTTATGTAACGGTAGTTAACTATGACTGAATGAATGATATTATGACCAGCTTTTTTTTGGCCCAGCGTCCAGGTGGACCACGGGGAAGGGATTTCTGCAGGGGCTTTGAGCCTGTGTGCGGACCAAGGAGGAAGGCCTGGGGCCTGTGAGCTCCCAGGAGCCCTACTCAGAGGCTGGAATGGGGAGGCTAAAGCCTTCCCACCCCATTTCCCCAGGGCCTTTCTGGCATACCTGATTGTGTTTTAGGCTCCCTCCAGCCTAAAGTCAGGCCAAAAGCTTGATCTGTGAAGGGGCACTGAAGACTGTGGAGGTCACAGGACTGCTCCAGATGTCAGCACCAGGGCCAGGCCCCAGTACCACCACCTCCCTGCTTTCCTGCTGCTCTACTATGTCTGTTCTGTGTTGGATACTGTGAAGGTGACTGATGAGCAAGACATGCTTCCTGCCACTGAGGGGCTCACCTCTGTCTATCCTGTCAGTTAGCAAACACTTATGCCCTCCTGGGAGCCAGGTCTGCTAACTCATGGTTCCTGCCCTCAGGCAGCAGACAGTGGAAGGTCCAAGGTTCAGCATCCTTGGGGCTATCAGCTCCTCAGATACCTCAACAGAGGAAGTTCAGGAGGATCCCGCTAAGTCCACTTCCCACACACATCTCCTAATCTGATCCCACTGTGGACCCACCATTCCTCCTGACATTGTCATCAGAACACCTGGGTCTCTGCAGGCCAGGATGTGACATTGCTAGGCCTTCTGTCGGGGTTGGAGGTGAGGTCTGGGAGAAAGGCAGTATTCAAGGATGACTCTAGGGTTAGGAACTTAGTAATAGATGAACAGTGTTGCCGTTTTCTGAGATGGGAGGATAAATCAGAACTGTCCCCTGGAAGGCTCATGGTTGGGTTGGTGGGGGGCGGGGGGGCCAGGAGGGTGAGGGATAGGGTTAAGGGACAGATGATGGCAGAGCAGGACCCTTGGTGCCACAAAGCACTTGTGCCTGGGCAAGCCTAGATCTGGGGCTTTGCCTAGGCAGGGAAGGTGTTCTGGAGAAGGAGTTGTTTGAGCAGAACTGAGTTGTAAAGGGAAGGATGGGAGTTATTCAGGTAGAAGAGTGTTACACATAAAAGGGACAGTGCAAACAAAGGACCAGGGGTCTGATAAGGGTTATTGGGTGCTTGCTACATGCCAGACACTGCCAAATGTTTTACCTACTTTACCACCTGAATCCTCATGGTGATCTGGTCAGACTGGGACAAGTTATTTTCACTCTTTACAGATGAAGAAACACATCTGAGAGGTCAAATAATGTGCCTTAAAGACATAGCTAGTGAGCATGGAACATCAGGGGTGTTATAGATGTGGGTCTGTGTGTGATCTGAACCCTGGGAATCGGAGTTAAAAAGGAGATGTCCTGGAACTGGGAGAGAGCAGTAGGTATGCAGGACTGGCTGTAACATGCAGTGAGAAGGTAGGATACCAGGCACATAGGCTAGTCACAGATAGCCTTGGTAGGTGACCTGTCCCCACAGTGGGGTTGACAGCCCTGTATGGGTTTGACAGAACTTGCTTATCATACCCTTCCTGGTTCTAGTAACTGTGGTGACAGTGGCCAGAGTGGGGTGGCTGAAGAAACATGCAGAGGATGTAAGGGCTTGGTCATCTAGTTTAGTTTGGTTGATTGTCTTCGAGGGCCTATTTTCAGATATTTAGCCCTTTCCAAATACAGGTTTCTTCAAAGTGACAGCACTGTTCCATAAAGGACTCTTCTTAAAATACAGAGGTCAAGGAGCTTCTAGAATCAGGTAGAGAACAAGGAAAAGGAAGCAAGGACCCTACTTCATACTTCTCTTTGTATCCTGTAGCCTTGCAAAATTCACTTATTAGTTCTAGTAGCTTTTTTCTTTTTTGTAGATTCCTTAGGATTTTCTACATATATGATCACATTGTCTGTAAATACAGTTTATTTCCTAATCCATGTATCTTTCATTTTTTTCTTGCTTTATTGCACTGGCTAGGACCTCTAGTACAAATGAAGTGCTGAAAACATTTTTGTTGTTCCCAGTATCAACAAAAATATTGAGAAAAGTGCCGAAAAGGAGAGACTCTATTCAGGTGAAGCAGTTTGCAAACCAGAGAAATGCAGGCTGTAGTGGAAACTGAAAGGGGAATCCATTGAGACAAAAGGGAGTCAGACTTTTATAGAGAAACTTCCCAATTGGTCCAATTTTATGCAAATGATGTTTCCAAATTCATACAGTTCTAACTGGTCATTATAGGACATTTCTGATTGTTTGGTATAGATGCAAATGAGGATACAATTGTGCAGTTCTGATTGGACAGGGCAGGTTTCAGTCCATTGGTTGAAAGACAATACCAGGGCCCTGGCTGATGTGGCTCTGTTCATTGGAACATTGTCCCCTAAACCAAAATGTTGTGAGTTTGATTCCCAGTCAGGGCATATACCCAGGTTCCCAGTCAGGGTGTGTACGAGAAGGCCACCAACTGTTTCTCTCTCCCCGTTCCTTTCTATGAAAGCAATGAAAACATGTCCTCAAGTGAAGGAAGGAAGGAAGGAAAGAAGGCGAGGGAGGGAGGATGGATACCAGGGCTTCCCTGCAGTGATTGACTCAGCATAAACAAGCAGGGCATAGTATGGGAAGCTGAGAGTTCAGCCTGAGGTTCTTTCCACTACACAGAGTAAGTGAGGAGTACTTGTCAAGCAGATGGCCACTAGGCTCTTATTCATATAATTTGGGCAGTTGCTTGACCATGGGGAATCCATCTTGGCAGATAAATTCCTTCTTGGGGTTCACATCAAATAAATCTTCCTTCTCAGGATCCACACCAGTTTTAGAAGGAAAAATTCCGGTCTTCCCCTTAACTATGATGTTACATATAGATTTTTCAGAAACTCTATGTCAGGTTGAGAAGGCATACCTTTCTGCGGTGGGCAGAACAGCCCCCCAAAGATGTTCAGGTTTCAAACCCTGGAACCTGTGTATATGTTACCTTACACTGCAAAAGGAAGTCTGTATATGTCATTAAGTTAAGGATTTTGGGATGGCAAGATTATCATGGATTATCCAGATAAACCAAGTGAAAGCACAAGGGTCTTTATAAGACACAGGCAGGAAGGTCCGAATTTGAGAGAGATTGGCAGATGCTGTGTGGCTGGCTTTGAAGATGGAGAAAAGATCTGAGGAATGCAGGTGGCTTCTAGAAACTGAAAGGCAAAGAAATCGATCCTCCTCTAGAGGCTATTGAAGAAACACAGGCCTGCTGACATTGATTTTAGTTCAGCAATTTAGTGGCTTAAAGCAACACAAATTTATTAGTTTACAGTTAGGGAGGTCATAAATCTGAAATTGGTTTCATAGAACTAGCAATAATAAACTGTATACTTTTGTTTTAAAGATTTGCTTATTTATTTTTAGAGAGAGGGGAAGGAAGGGAGAAAGAGAGGGAGGGAAACATTGATGTATGAGATACATCAATCGGTTACCTCTCACACATCCCCAACTGGGGACCTGGCCCAAAACACAGGCATGTGCCCTGACAAGGAATCGAACCAGTGACCTTTTGGCTTGCAGGCCGGTGCTCCACCTACTGAGCCACACCAGCCAGGGCTACACTTTCTATTAATAGTTTTGTGTGTGTGTGTGGGGGGGGGTAGGGGATGGGTATTGAATCTTGTCAAATGATTTTTCTACATTTCTCCAGGTGATCATGTTTTTCTCCTTTATTCTATTAATACAGTGATTTACACTCATGCTCAGTTTTTAGGTCAACCTGTATTCCTGGGATAAAGCCAATTTCACCATAATGTATATTATTTTATGAAAATATTTTATTTATTCACTTTTAGAAAGAGGGGAAAGAAGGGAGAGAAACATCAATGTGTGAGAGACATATTGATCAATTGGCTCTTGCACGCCTCCAACTGGGGACCTGGCCCACAACCCAGGCATGTGCCCTGACCGGGAATTGATGCAGGCCAGCACTCAATCCACTGAACCACACCAGCCAGGGTGCTGTAATGTTTTTTATATACTGCTGGATTCAATTTGCTAACAGTTTGTTAAGGATTTTTTTGTGTCTACATATATGAGGGATACTGTTTTAGAGTTTTCTTGTAATGTTTAGTTTTTATATCAGGGTAATGCTGGCCTCATCAAATGGGTGGGGCAGTGTTCTTCCCTTCATTTTCTTAAAGAGCTTGTGTAAAATTGGCATTATTCTTTAAATGTTTGACAGAACTCACTAGTGAAGCTATCTGGATCTAGTCTTCTTTCTGGGAAGTTTGAAAATTACAAATTCAATTTCTGTAACAGATATGGGGCTATTCAGAATTTCTATTTCTTGTGTCAGTTTTGGTAATTTGTGCCTCTTAAGGAATTCTTAATTTCATCAAAGTTGTGGAATTTACTGCCATACAGTGGTGCATATTATGCCCTTATTATCTTTCTAATGTGAGTAGGATCTATGGTGATGTGCCCTCTTCATTCCTGATATTGGTAATCTGTGTGTTCTTTTTTTTTTTTTCTTTGATCGGTCTAGTTTGAGATTTATCAATCTGCATTAGGTTTGATTTTTTTCTACTGTTTTCCATTTTATTTTTGCTTTATCTTTCCTTCCTTCCATATAAATTTCTTATTTTTGTAGCTTCTTAAGGTGGAAGCTTATTTTATACCGTTTTTTCCTTCAGATGTAAATATCTAAAGCTAGAAATGCACCCTTAAGTACTGACTTAGCTGAGCTCACAAATTTTTTTTATTCTGTTGTGATCAGCAAACATACCTTTAATGATTCAATCTTTTAATATTTGTTTTTATAGCCCAGTCTAAAGCCTATCTCAGATATTCCATATGCACTTGAAAGAAAATGTGCCTTGTTAAGTGCAGTGTTCTATGTTAAGTCAGTCAAATTGGTTGACTGTATTGTTCAAGTCTTCTATATCCCTATTGATCCTGTCCTATCAAGTTCTGAGAGAGGAATGTTGACATCTCCAATTATAATTACAGATGTCTATTTTTTCTGTTCATTCTATCAGTTTTGCTTCATATATTTTGAATCTCCCTAATTGGGCACCTACAAATTCAGGACTTTTATGTCTTCTTGATATGTCCCTCATATCTCTGGTAATACTGTTGGTCTTGAATTCTACTTTGTCTGATATTAATATGAGCACTCTAGCTTTTCTGTGATTAATGTTTACACAATATTTTTTTACTTTTAGCCTGAGTTTTAATATGCAAAGTATATTTATGATGTAGTTGGGTTTTCCTTTTTAAAAATGCAGTTTGAAAACCTCTGCCTTTTAATTGGAGTGTTTAGATCACTTCCTCAAAAAAACGCTTCCTAAAACTGATCAGTGCCTGTGGGTTGGGATTCGTTTCTGCCTCTGGTTAGCATTCTACGGAGGAAGATTAAGTGACAAGTTCACTGCCTCTTCCAGGCTGTCTGAGACAGTTTTCTCATTTGTAAGGAGGGAATAACTGTACCTACCTCATAGGGTGGTTATAAGAATTAGATGAGATAATCAATATAAGGCACATAATTATACACTCAATAAATGAAAGCTTCAGATAGCTTCAGATCATTAGATGATAGTAATAACAGAGTATTACTATTTCACTAAGCATGGTCTTCCTTTTTTTTTTTAATTTTCTTTTTTTTAAGCACCATCTTCCTATTTGGCTTTGATGAAGTGTTGACTTAAGAAATGAATCACACTTTACTTACCAAGTGCTTTCATATGCACCCTTCTCTCCTGAAAACTACTGGAGATTTGTATACTATGATTTTAGTCTTTTTTCTGTATTTATTTTCCGACCATGTGCTTTCTTTGTTCAGCCAGTTTTTTTAATGAAAATTTTTGTTGAAACCCATCAAACTGTGCACTTTAAACATGTGCATTTTATTATAGGTAAAGTATACCTCAGTAAAGGTGAAATTAGACTAAAAAAAGCAAAACTAGAAAAATTCTGCCACATACATGTATATAATATACATATATAGGTTAAAGACCAATAAGATAATCAACATCCAGGTGCCCAATTACCAGCTTAATCGTACAGTTCCTTTGAAGCCCCTTGCATATAAGTAGATTTATGATGAATGTATGCTTCTGTGACTTGCTGCTTCTGCTCATTATTTTTAAGGGTTACCTGTGCTTATATGTAAATTCGGTTTTATGTGTAGTTGTTATTTATTTACTGCTGTATAGTCTTACATTGTATAATCCACTGTTCTACTGAGTGTGTGTGGGCTGTTTGCAGTTTTGGGCTTTTCCAAACAATGCTGCTATATTGTTCATGCATTTATAAGGTAACATGCTGGGATGGAACTGCTGGATTGTGAGGACTAGTTAATACCAGCTGCTTCCAAAATCGCTTGTATTAATTCATCTTTTCACCAGCAGGGTAAGAGAGTTCCTCTTTCTCCATGTCCTTGCCAACATTTACTGACATATTTTCACATTCTAATTCTTTTGTCCACCTTGGGCTTTTATAATAGCCGACGCTTAATGTTCATTTAAACTGTGCCAGGCTCTGTGCCCACAGCCTCATTTCACCTTCACAGGAGCCCTATCTATTAAATACGTACTGTCATTTATGACCAAGAGAGCAAGGCTTTGTCCTTCCCTGCGCACTCCTCTTCTGTGTGGGCCCACGGCTGTGCTCTGTGGCCACCTCATCTCTTCTTCCTCCCAGCCTGGGCAGGGCTGGGTCCCGACAGGGCCTCAGTCCCACCTTGGACCCTTTCCTCCTCAGGCTGTTACTCCCTGTCAGTCCGCCTCAGCCGCCCTGCGTCGTGGGACCGGATCAGACACTACAGGATCCAGCGCCTTGACAACGGCTGGCTGTACATCTCACCACGCCTCACCTTCCCTTCACTCCAGGCCCTGGTAGACCATTACTCTGGTAAGGCCTTTCCCTGCCTCCACGAGCGTAGACTAGGATGCTGGTTTTGGGGATCAATGTGTCCTCAGACACTTTACCTAAAAAGAATATCCGGACAGATGGAAGGGCCTCCCATATCTTCACGTCAGTCCCTGTACCAAGAAACACAGGCTGGCAGCCCTTTTATCTCACGCCCTGGCAGAGCCAGAGACCTCCCATGTTAAGTGCAGGCCTGTAACTCACCCACCACTGTGTTCTGAGTCCAAGATTTCTCTCCCCAAGAACTAGGCCCAGATCTGTTGCTGTTGTGGAATTCAGCCGATTCTTAGCATTTTCTGATGCCTCTGCAGTAACAGGTACTGGAGGATGCAGAGGGCAGAGAGGAAGGCTGCTCAGGGGTTTGCTGGAGGGCTGTTCAGGCAATAGATACTAATAGTACAAGTAGAGACAGAGCATTCCTTAGCTTGCTTCTTCCCAAAGCACTTTCCTAGCCAGAAACTGGGCTCAAAGAGGCCTGTCAGTTTACCCAAAATCACAGTAAATTTAGTCTCCCCAGACCTAGTCCAGAATGACTTTTAATCCCATCTCAGCTTCTAGCAGACCAATAGCTTGGGGCTTATGCCCTGTGACTTTTTAGACCATGCCGCCATCTGCCAAATACATACTGCTGTCCGGGTGAGGGTGGGGCCATCGGGGAGGAAGGCAGCAGGGTTGGAGTCAACCATGTCATGAGTCAAGGTCTCTTCCTCAGAGCTGGCGGATGACATCTGCTGCCTCCTCAAGGAGCCCTGCACCCTGTGGAGAACTGCCCCAGTCCCTGGCAAGCACATACCACTACCTGTGACTGTGCAGACGGAGCCCCTCAACTGGAAAGAGTTGGACAGGTGAGGGGACCCCTGGAACATGAAAGCAGAATAAAGGAGTTAGAATTCACCTCTAGGAACCCACAACCCAGAATGAGCCTGTCACCTGCAGGGATGACGGGGGCCAGTGAGCACTGAGCTCGTAGAGGCCAGCCCAGGCTCAGCAGGGAAGCAGGAGGGACTGGCAGGTCTGACAAATGGGGTAGAACAAAGATCACCATTCCTATGTGAAGTTAAGCTGGGGTTTGATCTGGTAGGGAATGGGGAGCCACTCTGAATTTTTCAGCAGGAGTGACTTAAAAACAGTGAACTGTGTGGCAAGTTCAGGGAAGACAGTGCCACTTAAACCAGATTTTCCACTCTCTGTAGCTCCGTCCTGTTCTCTGAAGCACCTGCCACAGGGGAGGCGTCGCTCCTCAGCGAGGGGCTGCGGGAGGCCCTCAGCTCCTACATCAGCCTGACCGATGACATCTCCTTGGACGATGTCAAAGCCCAGAGCAGAGACCGAAGGGGGAACCAACGCTATAGCACCTAGAACCCCAGTTCAGTTCAGCTGACGGAGCAGCGCAGAGGAAGGCTGCACACTGAGGGGAAGGGGAGGGACACAGAGGCACATTCAGGGTCCCACCTCTGTCCTCTGTTCCTTCCTCTCAGCTGTAAGAAGTCACAAACCTCCTCCCAGTGCCATGATCTTGCCTGCAACCTCTAGTTCAAGTGCAGACCAATTGAGGGCAGAGCCAGGCCTCCAAAGAGACTAAACTTCCTCTGTGGTCTGATGCAGTCAGTGCCCAGGTTTATTCCAGCACATCTTCCTCCCCTGCCAATTGAGTGCCATTCAAACCCTTCTCCCTGCTAACCAGACCCACCCATAAAGTAGAAGAAAACCACTAACATCAAGAAGGAAAAACATTTTACAAGGGACAGGAAAGCAGAGATGGCTCACCACAGCAGCAGACCCTGGGCTGTCCAGTCTCCTCCTACCCCAAAGCACAACGAAGGACCCCTGATAGTACAGGTGCTCAAATGTCCTGATCGAGCCCCTTCTCTGAACAGCCGTAGCTCCCAGATCTCCATTTCATTTTGCAGCTTATCATTTGGACCTGGCCAAGCCTTAGCGGCGCTGCCATCTGGTGGCCCAATGCAAAGTGACACCTTCTGAGGTTAACACACTGTGATGAGGTCAGTTATACGTGGCCCTTGAGCTGGGCAGGAGCCCTAGGGCACCAGAAAGTGGTAAGCCCTGTCTCCAAAGCCAAGGACTCAGCCTAAACCCATAAAGGGAAGGGGGCCTGGATGAAGCTGCAAAGGGACCCGGGAAAGGATGAGGGACAGAGATGAGAGGGCACCGCCTCTAAGTGTTCTTACTAGGTTCTCAGGTTAGAGGTGGGGTTGGAAAGGCTTTACCAGGTATCATCAGCAGGTTGTCAATTAAAGATCTGATTTATTCAAGTGTCTGAAAACATTCTACAATGCAAACTGCTACTAGATGCTGTTTGTGCTGTGCTATGAACTTTGCACATACTGCCATAGTGTTTTCAGAAGACTTCAAATGCCACTGATAGTTTAAAAACTGTACACCTGATGGAGAATTGAGGAAGACAATTTAATGTTTCATCCGGATCCAGATTTGCATCAAATTAAATGACAGCTCCAATTGGCAAATAGGTGTTTCATGATGGTATCCGAGAAGAGATGGTTGGTGATGAACAATTCAGAAATGCTTCCCCAAAAGGTGGATGGTTCTTTAAAAAGTTTCAGGTTACAACCCTCGCAGAAAACACTGACGCCCACCACACTGATTCTTGGTCCAGGAAACATGGGTCTTCCAGGTTCCACATAGCTGGGGTGCCCCCTACAATCATGTTTCTGTGCTTTAACTAATAGGGTCCTTTGGACCAAACAGGACGCAGGTGGGGACTGTACACCATCAGTCATAGTGGATGGCCGTGTAAAAGATGATCCAGATGACCTAGAGAGGAGAAAAGGAATGTTCATAGGTCACCTGTTCAATGTAGGTTCCTATTCCACAAAATGTCAGATAAGAATGTGTGTACAGTGGGCTTCCCAGGGGCTATCCACTGCGTTTGGGAACCTAAATAATTTCACTGTAATCAAGCTGTCTCTAACAAAGCCCAGGGCCATCCACCTGTGTTCCCAAAGGGACCCCCCCGCCCCGCCCAAGATAAGCGTCTCACCCTGCCAAACAGCAAACCAAGTGCCAGGGAGTGGGGTTATAGATGTGGAAACAATACAGGTAAGCAGACTTCTGCTAGTAGGTGTCAGGGTTAGCATTAGACGGTGGTTAGGAAAGCAAAACCACCATCGTACCGTGTCAGCGCCGTATCAAATACAGCACAGATTCTCCTAACTGGCTGTCCACTGAATCTCCTAGGATCTATAAAACTATACAAGGTACATATTCCTGGGGTAGATGCCCAGGTGCCACCTCCTGGAGGTTTTTATTTTATTGGTTTGGGCTAAGGCCTATCGATCTTAAAAAAGCAAACTTTGAGATATAATTTATATCCCATAAAGTATAAAATTCAGAGGAGGGTTTTCTGGTATTTTATTTTGTTACTGAGACCATTTAAAAATACAGAATTCAGAGGTTTTTAGTATATTCACAGGTGTAAACATCACTAACTGATTCTGGAACATTTCTATCCTCAGAAGAAAATATGTTCCCATTATCAGTTATTTCCCCTCCCCATAGCTACTGGCAACCACTAATCTAACTTTTTGTCTGTATGAATCTCACATAAATGGAATCATGTAACATGTGATCTTTTGTCTACAGTCTTTCACTTGGCACAATGTTTTCAAAGTTCATACATGTTATAGCATGTATCAGTACACACCATTGTTTTGTATGGCCAAACAATACCCTGTATGAATGTGCATTTTATTTATCCATTCACCAGGTGATGACTTTGCACCTTTTGGCTCTTATAAACAATGCCAGGGATGTATTTTAAATCGTTTCCCAGCCACTTCTAACATACAGCTGGAGTTGAGAATCCGATGTGAAAGCTGATGATGGGCCCCGGGTCAGCACACCACAGGGGGATGATGCACTGTATCACGCATGTTTTAGGGCAACATGACGAGTGTGGGCATGCCCTCCAGCCTCAGGAGCTTTTTGAAAAAATGGTACCCCCATCACACAGTGTCACTCAATCATTAGGTTTCCCTCAGGTAACTCGAGAAATGACAATACTTGCTGTAAAACTATCAGCTACACATACCATGAATAAAGCAAAAGACGTCATAAACCCTTCTTTCGTGAGCTCCCATGTGCCACCATATTCCTCCTCATCTATCTGTAGGTAGTTGCTGAAGTAGAGGTACAGGACTCCTGCATTGATCAGGCAAAACCTGGAGGGAAGGAGGACAAGCACCAAGAATAAACTGTAAGCTCAGAAGACTCAGAGCTCCCACCACCACAGTCCAGCTCCATCAAGGTATTCGCTATTGCCCAGTTAACTATTTCAATTACGAGGGAATGTGAAATAATGCATAAAAACACCTAGGACCTCAATGAAGCTACCCATCTGGCTGAGCTAGAGATTTAAAGGAACAATTCTTTTTAGTTGCCCAGCCAAAGCATAAAATAAATTAAAAAGCAGATTTAAGTTCTCCAAGCCCCCTTGAAGTAAGACAGGCTGGTCCCAAGGAGGACCAGTAGCTGACTGCAGGTAGCTCCCGCTGGGCTGAGGGGACGCCACGGGACACACACACGTTAAGCTGCTGCTTCGTGGACTCGTTGAGCAAGCAAGGGCTTATACAAAGCAGCCCACGCGTAATTCCCACACAATTTCTGGATGTCCATTGTCTGTCTGCTACTGCACTTGATGCAGAGTTCCTGCCCTCAGTTCAGCATCTACTAGGGAGCTAAAAACAGCAGTGACAGTGGAGTTGAAACCAGAAGTTTGCCAGCACCTCTAGGAAGGTCTTTGAGCCCCATCATGTGTTATTTAACTGATGGAACAATTAGAATGCAGTAATATGTGGCCCTGCCCCACTAATCTCTTGGTACCATTCCCGTCTAAAACTAACTTTTATAGGGTAAGGAAGAGCTCATGCCAGTTACAATGTCTAACCTAATGGGGGGCTGTATGTCTTAAGACATATCCCTCCTGAAGACTAAGGTGGAAAATGCAAAGAGAACTGGTTCTTCCTGATGGGTGATGTGGGGGCTGGTATAGGGCAAGGCAGTTGGATGCTGCTGAGCAATGTCGATCAGTATGCAAGGGTGAGGGGCAGACCCTGAGCAAGGTGGGGGGTTGGGCAGGTGTGCGTACTTCAGGAAGTCTAGTGTGGAAGTGGTTGAGAGCACAGGCTCTCTCCCAGGTGGAGGGAACCAGAGCTGCGAGATTGGCTTAGAGCAGTACCATGTTTCAGGACAAGAGCACAAATAAAGTTTGAGGACACGGACCAGGACAGTGGCTGAATGAGGAGGGAAGAGGCCCCAAAGGCTGGCGCCTAAGGGCCTGGAAGTACAATTCTTTCAGTAACAGAAGCAGGAAGTCAGGCAGAAGGAAAGTTGTTCTTGGATTTCACCTGAAATAAGACTCCTTGGTTTGGCTATGTTGTGGCCACATCCTTTCCTTATGCTAGATATCTTGGGACTAGGCCAATCTGGCCACTTCCCTCTAACAAGAGTTTCATTTTGGGCAGGCCAAGTTAGTGGCTCTAGAAGATTACTAACAGGACACAGAAATGCCACTCTGGGACCCAGCTAATGGGCTGGTGCTGGAGAATGACTGGAGGCTCACCGAGTGTGCGCTGTGCTGTGCGGGTGCCTGCCTGGTGAGGCGGGGGGATCCGAGGGAAAGGCGCATGCGCAGCGGCGGGGAGAAAGGCCCGGCGGGCGCAAACCCTGCCTCCTAGGGCTACACACTTAGTAGAAAGTAAAGTCATGGAAACAAAGGTATTTAAATGTCTAGTGGTCGAGAGAGGGGTCTTGGAAAGGACTGGAAAGGCTCAAACTGAGCTTTAAAGATGAGCATAATTTCTACACCGTGAACGAGGGCAAGAACTACACAGCAAATGTGTAAAGAACATGCTGGATTGAGGGTTAGAGAAGAACATTAAAAAGACTGACTCTCAAATGGGTTTTTAAAAATCCTATCCTAAACACTTCTGCCAGAATTCAACAAAATAATGAATCGAACAAATACAACGACTTCAGGGCTGGAAGGCAACGTGACAACAATAACGTGTGGCCCTGCTTTCAAGGGAATTCATTTCAGTTATTAAAAAAAACTTAACAGCATTCACTGAGCACCTATTAATCATGTGCCAAGCGCTACAAAAGACACAGGCAGGAAGGGATGGACAGGGTCCCTCCCTGGTAACACAAACCCTCAGCAGACAGAGCAGAGCCATCACTCCGTTCTCAGGCACAGTATCACTGAGATCCGAGGGAATGGTTTTACCTTAATGGGCCCTAACTGGTAGCCACACCAGAAATGAGAAGCCAAGCTGGGGTCAAAACAGAGGGCAGCTAAGGCAGGGAGCAGGGAGGCCACAGGCACCAGAACTGAGCACCAGAGCAGCTCTGCTCTTCGGTCCAGGCAGCTGGGTCTGACAGACGGAGAAAAAAAAATCAATGTCCTTGGGCCCTTTCCAAGAGCAGGGGAAAAGGTACCAACCAAAGGAGGGAAGGGATTCTAGTTCTGGCTCTAGCAGGACAATGTGGGACTGAACCCCACAAAGCAGTCCAGAGAAACCAGTGTTGTGCTCTATGGGTGAGCCATGAATTCACTCCCAAAGACACTTCCTATCCTCTCAATAGCCGTATTTGACCACTCTTTGTAAAGTGTTAACTTTATAATAACTGCATATAATAATTGCAGTGAACCATTTATGGAGTGTCTATGACTTATTAAGCACTACATTTAGCAATTTACTTGTGTTATTTCATTTAACTCACACATCAATCTTACAAGGCAGGCATTTTTATTCTCCCCATTTTAGTGATGAGGAAATGGAGTCTCAGAAAGGTGAGCACAAAATTATGTAGCCTGAAAGTGGGAGAGCTGGAAACTTGAACCCAGAGCTTTCTATAAAGAAAGAAAAGAAAAACAAAGAAAAGAGAAAGGAAAGAAAGGTCTTTTTGGCAAGCTTAACTCTTCTGCCACAGAGCAAGTTAGACTAGCCTTGCTCTATTATTCCACATTGGTGACTTCACAGAAATCCCTTAGGAACCAAGACATGATAGGCTCAGGGGGCTCTGAAGCTCTCCTAGACAAAGTGACCTTGGGCAGATGAGAAACTCCCTCTTGCCCTTAGACTGCCTTCCCCCTTCTCTGGCTTTTCCCCCTTATCGGCATTTTCTCTCACAGAAAGCTCAAATGGGGTGACCAACATTCTAAAAACACTACTTGTACACTAGTCCAACCTGGGAAGACCTCCATGAGCACCAGCTGCTGTGTCTCATCATCAGCAATCGGCAGCCCTCAGCAAGTGTCCACTCCATCAAAGCCAGGCAGAGAATAAACTCTTACTGATTTCTCTGTACCGATGCTTTGCTCAGCATCATAAATCAAAAACCTTCTTAGTTAAGGAAGAAACATTCCTTTTGGGTTATCCTCTGAGAAAAGAGGCAACTCAAATGAGTTGGATATTTCTTTCACCCTTTCCACCCTAGAGTTATTGAATAATAAGAGATGTGATCACCCCTAAAAATATATATATATTATATATATATATATCTCTATATCTCTATATCTATATATCTCAATGTGACTTTTCCATATTGACCGTTTGTACTCCCTGCATGACAAGAGGAAAGGTCACAGCCCTGCCTGTCCATTTCCGCCAGAGCTTGCCCTATCTGAGGTTCCTATCTGAAGACACTCCCACACATCCTTTTGATCCAATCAGCTGGACAGTGAACACGTGGACTCACTTTCAGCGGCCTGTTAAGCAGAGCCATGACCAGGGGGTGGTGTCAACTGTTTAAAGGAGCATAGTAACAGTGGAGGGCCAAACCTTTGACCTTTTCACTGCCTCTAAAATGTAGGGACCTGAAACAACTTCTGAAAATGCCCAGATTCAGTATATCTAGTGTAGTGCCAGGCATGACAGAATGGTCAAGTTCAGAAGTTCTTTCACTTTCCCAGCTTCCTTACAAACAAAGGTCACGCCACAGCTAGATGATGCCTGCCACCAACAGGCGTGTGGTAGCCTCTTGCATGAGATCAGTTTGGACCCATGAATGAATGGACTGGCCCAGCCTTCAGGAAAGTAACATACCTGACCTAATATGCCCCTGGGCTTGATGAACTGAGGAGCGCTGCACTAGACCCAGGAGTTGGCACTCCTGGGGACACCTTTTGCTTCAGTCATTACACACACATACACTTTTTTAAAAAAAAATCTTCCAATGTAACAATGACCTTATTCGGAAAAGAAAAATATAATCTGTATTAGAAAAAAACATGATATCATGAAAATGCAAGATACCCACGACTTACCCTGCTATTCCCAAGAAACCTCGTAACGGTAACACTCCCCAAATGACACCTAGGACCACAGCGATGATCTGTCGGAACCAGTAGATCACATCTAAAAATTCATCCTATAGAAAAAAAGAGACTGCGTGCATTATCTGGAGCAGGTGCCACAGGAGAACCTCTTGCAACAGGTGGGGAACAGAAAAGTCTCCTGCTAAACACATCTTCCATTTTTGAGGAATTTATCCCCAAAAGCAATAGTATGGGGCTCTCCACCTCTTATACTAAAAAAGATGGTGAACAAAACAATATTTATCTTGAGTGATGACTTCTAGGGACTGTGCTCTAAATAAAAACTTTAGAAATGAGATATCCCTCCCGGGAGCACGCCGACAGCTTTCTTCCCTCTCAGGCAGGCATCTTCTGTACACTGAGGGTCTCCCAAGACTTGCAACCGGGGAAGTAATGGGCAGCAGGTAGCTCCTCTCAGGCAAACCCCTCAACCTGTTTCCAAGACCCCCTTTTCCATGACTTTCCATTGAGCCAAAGCAGCTTTGCCTGGGATCATTTTTTTCCTATAACTTTTTTTTTTTTAAGGTTTTTATTTTTTCTTAGGAAGGGAGAGAGACATTGAACAGTTGCCTCTCTCATGCCCCAACTGGGGACTGGGCCACAACCCAGGCATGTGCCCTGACCAGGAATCGAACTGGTGACCTTTTGGTTTGCAGTATGATGACCAACCAATTGAGCTACACCAGTCAGGGGACCTACGACATTTCTAAACACTCAAAGCGGCCCCACCTAGGCTCTCTCCTGTTGCTTCTTCTATCCTAAGCCCTTCCTTCTTTTACTGTTCCCAACTTTAATAAATGTACTCTTTAAAAAATTTTTTTTAGAAAAGTCATTTATCTTTTTTGAGAGGCTGCAAAAATGATTTGGCATGTGGTAAAATGACTGTGATAGTAACTGTGCTATTGGCCACTGATAAACTCTTATCTCACCTGGGGAGACCTAGATACATCAACCCCGGGCAGAAGGGCTGACAGTCAATCTACTCAGCACCACTTCCCTGCATGCTAGATTTCGAGTAAGTCACAAAGGAGAGAAAGGATTAGAAACAAAAGTGCTGGAGGCAGGTGCCAGCCTATCTAGTCTACGTACAAGGGCATGGAAGACTCAGGTTTCTGACCTGCCCTAGATTGCAGAAACCAGTCCTTAGAAGGAAGAAATGACACAGCAGATCAGAAAGGTTTTTACAAGAGCTGGGTATGGCTGGGGCAATTTCAGGAAGTGCCTCCCATCCCCCCTTACTGGAACTCCAGGTAGGAAAACCTACTCCACCAGTGTCCTGTCCCCTCCACCCCACCCCCCAAAAAAGGCTGCAAATATAGCATTCTTTTCAGGCCAGGTGGAATCCGGTTGTTCGTGATGGTCCCTTCCAGATCATGGAGCAGAGGTGGGGCGTGCCCAAACTCAGATCTGAATGTATGTGACCGGTAAGGAAATCTTGAAGCCCCAACCATTCCTCACATGTTTCTTCTTTCTCTCCCTCGCTCACTCTCCCCCTCCCCCCGACTCTCTCTCTCTCTCTCTCCCCCCCCCCCCATGCAAGGTGGTCCCAGTCTCCCCGCTCACACCTAAGGTATTCGGTTTTTCTCATTCAACAATAAAGCACTGGCAGCTCTTCTTCAGTTAGCCTCATTATGTGCTGCTGCTTCTTTAATGCACCACAGTACCCCAGTTCAGAGTTATTCTGAAAATTAAGTAAGACAATGCTGGAAGAACACCTGACAGAGAATGTACCCAGTAGATGCTAACGACTGTGTTAAGCACTTAATTCGGAGAAGATAAGTCACTTATTCAAGATCCTACTAAGAGGAAAAGGCGGAGGTCATTTCAAATTCGGCTCAATTCCACCATACAGACACACGCCCTGCCCGGGAGTGACACCTCCTCTGCTCCCTCCACGCTGCTTCCCGCGCAAGTGACACAGGCGGCTCGGCCATTAGGTCACTGCTCGTTGAGCCCCGAGTTCGGCTCTCAGGCCCGGACCCGCGGAGTTCGCCCTGACACCCCAACATTCGGCCGCACCCGGGCAGGCTCGGGCCTGCCCTTACGTCCTCAAGTGCCAGACGGCTCCTCGAACCTGTGCCCTCGCCAGATCCCCCACCGTACCTTATCCTCCCAGGCCGCGTCGCTCCGCAGCACCTTGCTCCAGACAGACACTTTGAGGGCCCCGTTGGCCAGCTGCGGCTGAGACGGCTCCTCCTTTCGCCGCCCGCCGCTCATCCTCCCGTCGCGCCGCCCGGGCAGGGCCTGGGGCGCGCGGGCCAAGCCAAAAGGAGTCGAGGGTCTGGGGTCGCGAGTCACGGCGCGCGGGGCGGCAGTGACAATCTACACTCTGGTTCCGCTGCGCGCTGCAGTTGATCGCACTTAATCAAGGGGTCCAGCTCAGCTCGCCCGGCCGAGACCAGGTGCCGCGAGGGGAGGAGCAACGCAGAATTGTGCGTCCTCCCGCCAACGTGCTCACGCAGCCAATCGGCAACCGTGCAGCCTTCCGAGTGCTATAGTAGCTGTCGTCTCAGCCCAAGCGCTATACGCTTGACGGAAATGACGGTAAGCTTCCGCCCAGCGCGCGGTAAGGTGAGAGGGAAGGGACAATTTTGGTGGGGAGAGCGACACGAGCGGGAGGAGGCGCTGTGCAGAGTGAAGAACGGCGTCTAAAGCGAAAGCGGAGGTTAGATTTGAGTGTCGCCCGGATTGCCGCAGCTTGTATCCTCGGGCAGCAGGGCAGAGCGCGATCCTGCCCTTCCCGAGGCGACCTTTTTAGCCTAAACCTTGCTCCCCAGGAGCTCCAAGCTGCCTCTTAGGATTTAGCTCCTGCTCGTGTTCTCCCCTAACTCTTCGAGTTCGCTAGGACTTCGTTCAGGATGTTAACTCTTTTCTGTACGAACTTAGTGTTTAAAGTGAGCCCTGAGACCCCCAAAAAGGAGAAATGATTTTCTAAGGCTATAGAGCAAGTTGGGACCAGCTGAGAACTCTGAACAGGGTTCAAGTGGAGAGAGTGCTTTATTAGGTATCAGGATATCTTCGTAATCATTGTTGTGTCCTCAATATGTGCTAGGTCAGTAGTTCACAAAGCGTGTTTCTAACCAGCAGCTGCATCACGCGGGAACTTGGTTAGAAAAGTAACTTCTCGGACTTCCTCAGAAATTCAGGGGGCGGGGCCTATAATCAGCTTTTTAGTAAGACCTCCAGATGGTGCCATGCACACTGTGCTATGTAGTAAGTTGCGACCGAGACACAGCAATTCTGTGCGGTGGTTTTATAGAGACATAGTAACCTTCCCAGAATCACTCAACTCAACTGGGTTTGTCTGATTCCAAAATCTGCTTTTAACCTTAAGCTTTAAGTCTTGAAAGAATAACGGTAAGGTCAGAACAGTCTCTGCATACCTGCCAACATTCACCTATAGTTCTCCACCTTAGGTAAACAAACGAATCTCCTGCAGAGCTTTTTCAGAATTCCATAGCTGGTATTTTCCACCACAATCTAACTCCAAGACCCTGTTTAAGTAGGTTGAGTGGGGCTGTTCCCCAAAGGTGATAACGCACTGCAATAGACACTGTGTAAGGGCCTGATGGGAGGGCCATATTAAGTCACATGGGTGTCACCTTTAGTTCTTACTTTCCTTTGGATTTTGTTCTTTTTAGCCCTGCCTCTTGTGAACATGTTTCCCTCCCAGATGCTAATTGGTGACGCCTAACCAGCTCTCTCCAGCTTGGAAGTGGGCCATCAGTATAAACCCTCTTTTACAGGCTCCCTGGTGGCATGCAGCACTGGCGAGAAACTGATCACTCTGTCAGAGAATGTTGGAGGACATAGTCGAGGACATAGTCAAAGACAGCAAAGGTACGGTTTCAGCCTACTGGGTCCGACGGTAAAGGTTAGTACTGGGGAGTGAGGGAAGACAGCTCTGAAGGAAGAGTAGGAAGTAAAGGGAGGACAAGGGGGAAGGTGAAAGAGCATTTCAGGAGAGAAAACCATGTGGGCTAGTTAATGGTAAGGAATAAAGCCACAAACGGGGAAGAAGAGGGAGGGTCGTGTTGAGGAATTTGTTTTTATCCCAAGGGTGGAGGAGGAAGCCACAGAAAGGATTTGAGCAGGACACTTTACTTTTGAGGTTTGCATCTTAGGCAAGATCATTCTAGCTCCTATTTGGAGGACTGAATCAGAGTGGGAGACTAAAGGCTATAAAAGTTATTCAAATGAGTGTCAACAATAAAAAAATAGTAATTAAAAAATAAAAGATATTCAGGTGAGATTTAGTGGGGCACTGAAGATGGAGAAAATTGGAAGAAAATTGAGTTAATTCTTTTTTAGAACTTAAAATTCACCTTGCCGTAAAATGCATCTGATGCACCACGTTCAAGCATGCAGTTCAGTGGCGCAGTGAAGCACGCTCATTTTGTTCCGCAGCCGCCCCCACCACCCTTTTTCAGAATCTTCATCTTGCAAAACTGAAACTTTTACCCAGTAACTCCCCACTCGCTCTATCCCCAACCCCTGACAATGACCGTTCTTCTCTGTCTCTGAATAGGACTAAATACCTCGCAAGAGTGGAATCACACAGTGTTTGTCCGTTTCTGATTGATTGATTTTCTTAGCATAACTTATTTAATGTTCATCCATGTTGTAGCATTGTGTCGGAATTTTCTTCCTTTTTAAAACTGAATAGCAACTGTTAAGTGTTTGTTAAATGCCTATTGTATGTATATACTACATTTTGCTTACCTGTTCATTTATTGAGGGACATTTGGGCCGCTTCCATCTTTTTGCTGTCGTGAATAATGTGTCCATGTACATTAGTACAAAAATATCCATTCATGTCCCTGCTTTCAGTGCTTTTGGTGTATACCCAGATTTGAATTGCCAGGCTGTATGATAATTCTATTTTTAATTTTTTGAGGAATCTCCATAATGTTTTCTATTGCAGCTACACCATTTAAATTCCCACCAACAGCGCACAAGGGTTCCAATTTCTCCACATCCTTGACAACGTTTATATTCTGTTTCTCTGATAGCAAGTGCTATGAAGTGGTATCACATTGTGGTTTTGATTTTTATTTCCGTGATGATTAAAGATGTTGAGCATCTTTTCATGTGCTTATTGTCCATTTGTATATCTTTGGACAAATATCTGTTCCAGACTTTTGCCCACTATTGAGTCTGGCCATTTTTCTTGTTGTTGAGTTTTAGGAGTTCTGTATGTACCCTGGGTATTAATCCTGATCATATATGTGATTTGAAAATATTTTCTCCTGTGGGCTGATAGTGTCTTTTTACTCTGTGGATAGTCTTTTTATACACCAAAACTTTCATTTTTTTTAAGTTAAATTTAATTTTATTTGTTTTTCTTACCCTTACCTGAGGATATTTTTTTTCATTGCTTTTAGAGAGAGAGGAAGGGAGAGAGAAACATCGATGTAAGGGAAAAACATCAGTTGGTTGCCTCCTGTACACAATCAGACTAGGTTAACTGGGGATCGAACCTGCAACCTAGGTATGTGCCCCAACTGGGAATCAAACCCGCAATCTTTCAGTTACCGGACAACACTCCAACCAACTGAGCCACATGAGCCAGGGCCAAAACTTTTAATTTCAATGAAGTCCAATTTGTGTAATTTGTTATTGCCTGTGCCTTTGGTGTCATATACAAGAAATCATTGCCATAGCCAATGTCATCAAGCTTTTCCTGTTTTCTTCTCAGAGCTTTATAGTGTTAGCTCTTATGTTTAGGTCTTTGATCCATTTTGAGTTAATATTTTAAGATTTATTTTTCAGCTCTGGCTGGTGTGGCTCAGCGGACTGAGTGCCAGACTGTGAACTGGAAGGTCGCTGGTTCAGTTCCCAGTTGGGGCACATGCCTGGGTTGGTCCCTAGTTGCGGGTGTGTGAGAGACGACTGACTGATGTATCTCTTGCACATTGATGTTCCTCTCCCTCTCTTTCTTTTTCCCTGTCCCTCTCTCTAAAAGTAAATAAAAAAAATCTTTTATAAAAAATTTTATTTTTCAGTTATAGTTGACATACAGTATTACATTTGTTTTAAGTGTACCACCTAATGATTAAGCTTTTATACACTTTACAAAGTGATCGCCCCGGTGAGGCTAGTCCCCATCTGGCATCACACATAGTTATTACAATATTATTGGCTATATTCCCTATGTTGTACTTTACGTTCCTTGTTTATTTTTATAGCTGGCAATTTGTACTTTTTAACCCCTTTCAGAATTAATTTTTTAATATGGTGTTAGGTAAGGGTCCAACTTCATTCTTGTATATGTGCATATCCAGTTTTCCTACCACCATTTGTTAAAAAGACTTTCCTTTCCCCATTGAATGACCTTGACCTTCTTGTTGAAAATCACTTTATTACTGAACAAAATCAGAGGGTTCTTTACCTGTGGCACCAGAAAAGCCACTGTCTGAGGCAACAAGGTTTTTTGCAGAGAGAAGGGTTTGTCAGGAAGCCAGACAAGGAAACTGGAGACAAGGTTCAGGACAAGTTTTTAAGGTGTTAAAGGCCAGTTTTAATTAGAGGACCTTGGATCTTGGCCACTTAAGGTAAGGGTTCCAGTATTCAAGTTCTTGTCATGTCCCAATCCTTTGGTTCTGGGTGCACCTGGAGGACGGGGTGGCACCTGCACTGTGCTCTCTCTGTAAAATAACTCAAGGATTGTGTTAATCAGAGACCTGCTTTAAGGGAGGAGAATGGCTTTTAAGTTGGTCAGGTGATTTGTGTGCTGTTTTAATTATTTGACCGTATACGTGAGGGTTCCTTTCAGGGCTGTCTGTTCTATTTCATTGGTATATTTGTCTGTCTTTATGCCAGTACCACATGACTTTGATTACCATAGGTTTGTAGTATGTTTTGAAATCAAGAAGTGAGTCCTATAACTGTTCTTTTTCAAATTATTTTGGCCATTGAAGGTTCCTTAAGATTCCATATGAATTTTAGGATGAATTTTTCTATTTCTGCAAGAAAAAGCCATTGGGATTTTGATAAGAGATTGCAATGAACCAACAGATGTCTTTGGGTAATATTGAAATCTTAACAATAGCAAATCTTCCAATCCATGAACATAAAATGTTTTCCCATTTATTTCCATCTTCTTCAATTTGTTCAGGGATGTTTTATAGTTTTTAATATATATGATTTTCACTTCCTTGGTTAATTCTTAAGTATATTTTCTTTTTGATGCTATTTTAAGTAAATTTTCTTAATTTTGTTTTGGGCTGTTCATTGTTATTGTATAAAAACAACTGATTTGGGGGCACTGATGTATCCCACAACTTTGCTGATTCCATTTATTAGTTTAACCGTGATTTTTATGTGTGTGTTCTTTAGGGTTTTCTACACCTATGATCACATCATCTGCAGAGATGATTTTATTCTCCTCTCCCAAAAGAATTTTTTATATGTCATGTTGTATTATATTGTGAAGCTCTGACCTTTAATTCTGAGATTCATTAAATTTGTGTTCACATGAGTGTCACAGAAACTCAACAGGCACCCGAAACCTGAGCTATGTTCCCCTCTCAGCTTTCCAGGAGCAGAGAAAGCCAAGCGGGGGAGCGGTGGTGGAGAGCCCTCGCCCAGAAGGCATCTAAGGGACTGAGTCTTGTTCCCTTTTTTCGTTCACCCAAGGTTTTCCTTATTTTAGGAAGCAGGGAATCTGGCTGAATCCTGGTTAAACATCCTGGGTAGTCTAGTATGGAAAAGAACTTGATGAAGTCAGATTTGGAAGTGAGACAGATTTGGAATTAGAATAAATTTGTCTTTGCCAGGTTGGGACTTTTTAGCACCACTTAAACACATACTACTCTCAGCCTTGGGGGCGAGTGCAGACACACTCCTGAGATCCTGTAGGTGCAGTCCCAGACCACCACAATAACGTGATTGATAATCTTTTTGCTGGTGGAGATTCTTGCCTTCAATTTGTAAAAAAAAATGCAGCATCTTTGAAGCTCAGTAAAACAAAGCACAGTAAAACGAGGTATATCTGTATGTCTCCCTGCAGCGGAATGCTTCTATACTGCTGCCAGCTGCTTGTGCAGTAGGGTTTGGAGAGGAAGGTGTGCTCTGAGGGAAAAGATAATGGCCCCAGACAGACGTAGATGGAATCACAGAAATCAGTTCTGGAGGGAAAACCGTGAGCCACAAAAGAGCACCTGTTGTAGAGGTCTGAGTTTGTATCCTGGTTCTCTTCTTTTTGTGTACAATAAATGTTTTACCATCACTTAAGTGTCCTTAGTAGGTGTCAATTTTGCTAAATATTTTACACATTATACATTTGTTTTCCTCCCAGAGCTGGGAACTGGCCAAACTCTGAACCGCTACGTTAATCTCCTCTTCTTTGATTTTTATTTTAATTATTTCTATAGTGAATGTAGATTGCTTATGTAATTAAAATGATAATCCCAGCCCTGACCCGTGTGGCTCAGTTGGTTGGGCATTGTACTAGAGTGAGGGGTAGCTGGTTCAGTTCCTGGTCAGGACACATGCCTACGGTTGTGGGTTCAGACCATGGTCTAGGCGCCTATGAGAGGCAACCAATTGTTTTGCTCTCACATTGATATTTCTCTCCCTCCCTTCTCTCTCTAAAAATAAGTAAATAAGTAAAATGATGGTCTCAAGAAGACTATGCTTGACCTTAAGGCCACCACAGACTCCTTGGGGGCCAAGGCGAAGTCAGATGGTTTGGGGAGACCACTTCGTGGTACCCTCTTTCTCTCACCTCCTTTGAAAGACGAGGTGCTGTCTCCCCAACTCAGCAGTTTCCTGGGGATAAATTAGTGTCCTGATTTTAAGCGATCGGGTCTCCTGTGGCATCAGAGAATAGCGTTAATTGCTGGACTCTCTGGGGTTGAGGTCCGGGAATTTGCATTTTTATAAGCTCTTCTGATGATATTGACAGATAGTAAGGCTGGAGAAGTACTTCTCTGGGTAATGAGTGCCAGTACTGTTGCTTAAAAGCTGTGTGGTATGCAAGTTATTTTAATTCTTGTTTTACTGTCAGCCCTGTGCTGAGGGGCCAGATAACACATAACGACAGTGAAATGGATTATCCTGTTTTATCCTCTTAGGACATGAATATTCCCATTGTATTGATGAAGATACTGAAGTTTGGGGCGGTAAACTGACTTACCTATGGTCCCAACTAATGAAGTGACAGAGCCATTTGCCATTTGTACGCAGGCTTAGGTCATAGCGGAGTGCCCTGGAAACCAGTCACGCTGAGAGCAGTGATTATTTCCACACCCCCGAGGTCCAGACTTTTCTGTCGCTCCTGTGGCTAACATAGTGAGGTTACAGCCTTACTGCTGCAGACCTGCGCTCTGCCTCATGGGAGCTGTCACATTGTCAGCTTCCAAACTGGAGTGTACCTTTTAAATCCAGAATCCTGATTCCCACCCTAGAGATTCCTATTCAGGGGTCTGAGATGAGTAAGTTTCTTATTGAACCACTTTGAAAAATAGTAAAGGGAAGAGGCCTTTCTTGACCACCAATCTCAAGGAACGCCGCTGCCCCCGCCCCCGCCCCCACCTTTTTTTTTTTTAAACTATTGAACACGGTCTATGTTTACATTGATACCCAAGGACTGGAAGCAGCATCCCGGCCCCTTTGTTAAGAGTAGAGGCATAATGAGGTCTGACAATATACCACAGGCACTCAAGATTAGGGAACAGAAATACATTTGAAAGCTATTTCTGCAATGAGTTACAGGAAGGGTAGATGTTCTTAGATAACACTCCTACCTTCATTGGAGAGGGGCCCTAGCCACATAACCCCTATAACCCCTGTCAGCTTTCATTATAGAAGTGTTTGCTTGCCCAGAGCTCATCAGTTTGAATCTCAACGTGGGAGACTCTTGGTTTCAGTTCTTTGAACAGGATATGTAAGAAGCCACCTCTCCTGAGGCAATCAAACCACTCAAATCACTTCTTTTTTGGGGAATAGTTTCTTAGATGTAAAATGAGAATTTAACTTATTTTGAAGAGCCCTTCCAGCGTGTTTCTATTATGCCAAGCCCCAAGGCCAAGTGTCCAGTTTGAGGGTTTCTGACAAGAAAGTGGGAAAACCAGAACACTGGGTGAATGAAGGGCTCGGGTAGGTCTCTTTATTCTGGAGAACTTGGGCAGGGAAGCTGTCTCCAAATCCTAAAGGAGCATGACCTGTGGGACATTTGATATCCTTATTTGGTTCTGTAAAAGAAAGTTCTAGTGCTTAGCCCAAACCATGTTAGATATCCGGACGCCCATAGGTTGTGAACTGCCCACCACCAGTTCCAGTGAAGTCTGCGTAGACCTCAGGGTAACCCTCAGGTGAGACAGACTTGAATTCATACCCTTGCTCCACTTAGAATCAGGCAAACAACGAAATCCTGTTTCTTTACCTATGAGAAGGGCATCTCACTTCTTAAGAGTGTACAAAAATTAAGATGTAATTAACAGTGCAGACCCAGGCACACAGCAAGACTGCACCACTACTGCAGACTTTGTACTGTTTGGCCTGCAATTACAACATCTAGTTATCACTATGACAAATGCAACCCACAGCTAACTTAAAAAGGGGAATTTACTAGCTTACATAATTGGGAAGTCCAGGGGTGGTACTGATTTCAGATATGACTAGAGCATCCACCTCATCTCTGCTTTTGCGCTGGCTTCATACTCACAGCAGTGCTCTCCGGAGGAGAGGGAAACAGTTCCAACTCCCCCAGTCCCCTCACCACTTAGCAATCGCAGGGAACACTGGTCCAGGGCTGGCCCCTTGCACTCTGTGACGAATGGGATATGGAACCAGGCTAAGAACCAGGAAATAAGGGTGCGGAGTGTCCTCTCAACATGTGGCTACTAGGAGGAGGGTAAAAGAGGTAACACAGGTAAGAAACTCAGCCAGTGCCCCATCTCCAGGCAGGGCCGAGGGTCACCGTCGGTCAATCTGTTTGGTTGGAAAACAAAAATAAAACAAAACCCAAAACAACTTTATTTGACAAAAGACAAAAACAAAACTTATTTACAGTAGTTTTCTGCTCAAATTATTCAATGGGATAACTGTGCTAAATCTCCTCCCAGTTTACCTCAAGACCAAACCAAGCAGAGGCTGCCCGGCCCCAGCCTCCCTATCTTGCGCAAGAGGGGGAAGGCCAACCAGAATCCAGCAGCATGGCTCCCGCACCCCTCACCTTCACTGCTCAGTGCACTGTGGGAAGGAAAAGTCCCAGTCCAGCCCAATATACTTTCATTCTCCTGCTACAAGCATTTTGCAACAGTCACACCAGTCCTGGGCTCACAGGCATGGGTAGGGTGGAAGAGGCTGGGCAAACAGCAGCGTCAACTAATCTTGAAGCTGCCATGTTTATCCTTCCCCAGCTGGGCCCTGGGAGGGTGAGGATTCTTTATCCCCTTCCCACCCACCCCCGGGCACACAAGGAGAGGGCACAGGAGTTGGGGGAGAGACAAGACAGAGAGCCTAGGTAACTTGCCCACTCAGAGCAAAGCTACCTCTCCTTAAATACTAATCTTCACTCCCAAAGTAAGGGGTGGGCCCGAGCCACTCAGAAGTGAGGGCGCCTCCCTTGGGATCGAACACCTGTTTCTGCCTTTTCTCCTGGCCAGGCCTAACCAAGGCAGCGAACAATCCAGTAACTCTTCCCCTTGGGCCTGGACCTGGCAACCTAAGGAAACTACAGGCTGGGGCTCCTGACCTGTCTTTTGGCCCAGGGACAATGTCAATTTGAACAAAAATATTTTGGCTAATAATCTAGGATTAGTGTTTCTTAGGATATACAAAGATGGGGTATATTCCTGTCAAACGCAGTCGGCAATGAAACGGAGGGAAAAAAACAACGGGGAGGGAGGAGATAAGACATACTGTGATCTGTTTCACTGTGAAGGTCAGGGCAGGGGCCTCTGACACTCCACTGTGAAGAAAGGTGCAACACCAAGACACTCCCGGGGCAGGCCTCACACCTTCCAGCCCCAGCCTCCTCTGAAGGCAGTTCCGCAGGCAGCCAGGGGCGCTCTTCCCTGCTTCCTCCAGGAATTCTTTCCTGCCACCATTGGGGGAAAACCTGCCAGTAGATGGAGCTTTTGACATTCTGGCCCCACTAATCCAAGTTCCTAAAGGAATCCAAAACTCAGACCACAGGGCAAAGCTTTCAAGAATAAAGGGGAAAATATTAAAGAGGAAAAAGAAACCCACAAGAAAACAAATCCTACTGCCTCAGTCTAGCTTATTTCTCCCACCCCCTAAAAGTACAGTAAAAACAAAAATAGAAAAAAAACACCTCTCTGGTTTTTATCCTCCTTCTCTGCTCTACGCCTAGAAGGTTTGGTCAGATTCTCTGTTGGCCCTTCTCTGGCTCTGGCTTTATTCCCCTCTGCACCTGATACAGAAAAGCCAAAGCCTGTATACACTTTTTCCTCCTTTTCTTAGTAAACCAAACCAACAATAAAACAGCCATTTGGAATTTTGCAGAGATGTAGCTGGTCCCCAAAATAAAAATACTTGTAAAACAATCACCTGTTGCAATGGTGGATCATTCCCAGTTCATCTGACTCCATCACACAACACACTCTTCTTCCCCATTAACGCAAACCACAGCAAAAAGGGAAAAATGAACACAAAGTTTAGCAAAAACCTAAACATTCAACTGGAGTCGGTTCTGTGACATCTGCTGGGTTCCTCTTTTCTTTTGTTCACACTTATAAACTTGGAATATCCACAATTGGCTTAACAGAGAGGCCGGCTCAGGAGCAACTTGGACCCAGCACAGGCCTGAACTTGGCAGGTTTTCTGTGCCCAGCCCAGGGAAGCAGGCTGGAACAAAGGTGTCCTGCAGATTCTCTGGAGAAGTAGCAGCAGCACCATGCCCGTCTCCACGCTCTTGGACTCCTCACCTGAGGAGGCCTGGAGAAATGGCAGAGTCAGAAGAGGAGAGCTCTCCGTCACAGTGCAGTGACACCAGCTGGTGTCTTCCTGCTGAAGACCTCTGGACAGAGGAGATGATCCTGATGTTTGGCAGTGATCCAAAGAAAACCCTCTGCATGAAAGGGAACCAAAACAGAAACCCAGGACAGCTGGCTTGAGCCTTGAACACCCCTGTTGGCAGATGCCTACTTGGGGTTTTCAGAGACTAGGGGGATGGGAGTGTGCAGTAATGGGGGCGACGGGTCCTGCTGCTTCTGAAGCTCCATCTCAGCAGCCCTCTGTAGTGCCACCTCCACCAGCAGCTGGAAGCTGCTGAAGTCCTCCTTGTCCTGCTCCGGGGGTGTGGGTGGTGGTGTGTTGAAGAGTCCACCTGTGGGGCTTCCGGCTTCGGCCCTGGTCAGCAGGGTGAGGGTGTTACCAGGGGTCACCAGGGATTTGGTGGGCTCCAGCTCCCCTTGTGGGAAGGGGGCTGCTGGTTTTTCCCCCTGGCCCGAGTGGAGCGGCACAGAGCACACAGACAAGGAGAGCACATTGGTGGGGGCCGGTACAGACACAGCCAGCACCGAGGGGCTGCTGCCACGGGGGAGGGCCACATCTGAGGCCTTGCCTCCACGGCGGGAAATGGTGTACTGGTTGGGGTCTTGGCCGTCCTTCCGAAGCATGTCAGGGAGAAGTCGCCGCCGAGCGTTGATGAACCAGTTACATATCTGGAATGAGTGTTAAGAGGCTGTGATCAGTTCACTCAAAATCTCCTATGAAGCACCTATGTCAGGCCCCAGAATATAGCGGCAAACAACACACACACACAATTGAATATATAAATTGCAACTCTGATTCAGCCAATGAAGGAAGTGCTGCTGGAGATAATAGTGGGAAGACCCAATCTAGTCTTTGTGGGATCAGGGTGGTATTCTCTGAGGAGATGGCTCCTAAATTGAGATCTGAAGGATGAGTAGTAGTTTAGGTGAGAGGCAGGAAGGGAGAGGAACATTCAGTTGAGGAAAATGAACCTCTCAAAAGACCCTGTACCAGGTGGAAGCAGAGTGCCTACAAGGAACTCACAGAAGGCAGGCCTGTATGGCTGGAGCTCAGAGTGGTAACTATAGGTTACCTCTATGGTGGGGATTTGGTTCTTTATTCTAAGGGTATTAAACAAAGGAGCAACTTGCTATGTGGAGAACAGAGTGGAAGCAGAGAAGAAGTAGTTCAAGTTATACTAAGGGAGGTGATGAGATGACAAATGTTTGATCTATTTGGGAAACTGAAAATGAGAGGACCTGCTGCCCAGTGGATATGGTGGTATGAAAGAGGAGAGGGGACAGTGCAGAGGATGATTCACTCCTGAATTTCTAGAGCAGAGTCTTGGTACAGGCCACAGAAATACCACGGGATTGTCAGGTAGAGAAAATTGATGTTTCCAAGGATCACTGGCTCCAGCTGAATGTGCATTCAACCAGCATCCTTAAGTTGTTTTTCCTACATGCTGTTAAGAAAGCTGCCATTTAATCTTGACCCCCATTCCCATTTAATTTCACTGTTTAGATCAATCTTTTTGAACTCTGCATCAGGCATGAAATTTCTCACTCTTAAATGTTATTCTGCAAAGCCAAGACACCTAGCACCCTGACCCACATCTGTCTGGATTCTTTTCTGAGAGATTTTACTTAGGTATTTTTAGAGTGTGTGGAAGGGAGGGAGAAAGAGGGAAACATTGATGTGTGAGAGATACATCAGGGTTGCCTCTCACATGCCCCCAACTAGGGTCGTGGCCTGCAATCCAGGCTTGTGCCCTGACTGGGAATTGAACCGGTGACCTTTTGGTTTGCAAGCCAGCGCTCAATCCACTGAGCCACCCACACCAGCCAGGGCTGTGTGGATTCTTTTTAATAGCTTCAGAACTCTCCAACCCAGCCTTCTTCACTGGTTGTCACTTCTTCTAAAATGCAATGCTGTTATTCCTGTTCTAAAAAACTGCCATGTCTCTTACTGCCTACAAATTCAAGTCTAGACACCCAAGCCTGGGTGTTAAACCCTCCTCTTAAACCGCCCTTGCATTCTTTGGCATGTGAAATTGCTCACCAGCCCTTCATAAGGCTCTGTGCTTCCCCCCGCCCCCCTTTTTTTTAGTAGCTCCATGCCTTTTTGCACATCAGATTTCTTCTTTCTGAAATGCCATCTTTTCCACCTGAGAATGGCTACTCCTCTAAGTCTTGGTTGATCTAAGATATCAGTGATAAGGCCTGAGCGGAGGAAATGGATTCAAAACATCGCTCTCTTCGCCTATGGCTGGTACAGGGCCTGGCAGTGTCTTTTCATACATGAATGAATGACACCATGAGGGGAGAGAGCTACTCAGGAAAAGTGTGAATAGTTTCTGCATACCCAAGAGCAGCAGGCCCTCATCGTGGCATCCTTCTCGACCATCTAAAAGATCAACCACTCATACCCTCTTTTCTCATTTACTCCTAATGGCCTGGAGATACAGCGAGAAAGATCCTGCAATAGCTCACCTGAGCATTATATTAAAAGTTATGTATTAGACTAGGAAACTTTCTTAGCTGCATGGCTGGTTTAAGGTCATAAAAACAAACCCGTTTTATAGCACTAACCCTGCCCTGGCTGGTGTGACTCAGTGGATTGATGGAGTGCCCCCCTGAAAACCAAAGGGTCACTTGTTCAATTCGCAGTCAGGGCACATGCCTGGGTTGCAGGCCAGGTCCCCAGTTGTGGGTGCATGGGAGGCAACCACACACTGATGTTTCCTTCCCTTTCTCGCCTTTCTCTAAAAATAAATAAAATCTCTTAAAACAAAGAAACATTAACCCTTTCCTTAAACAGGCAAATACAACCTCCTACCATTTTTTCCAGTCACTGTCCCTCTTGGCTGCTACTGGAGGGGCCACCAAAGGAGAAAAACTGCTTAATAACTTTCTCACCATTGCAAAAATAGCACAAGAGAAGAAACATTAGAAACTGGGCATGGGGCATGATGGGTGTAGCCTAGTAGGTGTCCGCCCATCTGGGCATCTTTCTGGGAGCTTTCACTGAGAAGTTTACCAATAACTGCCATTTACTGAGCACTGAACATCTACGCAATTCTCTTTTCATAGTTACATCAGCTCTGAGTTCGATCAATTTCCATTTACTTGTGAACATACTTCCAGCTCAGCCTGGAAAAGTCAGGCAGGATGCCGCCTCCAGCCAGGGACCCCCCCCCCCAAAAGCCTGGGCCATTGGATCTGGAGGAGCAGGAGCCCCTCCTCTGAGTCTCTCTCAAGCTGTCACAGGGCCTCAGAACCCAGCTTATTTTGTTCATCAAAACAGGTTAGAACTTCTAACTTTCCTGTTGCTCTCCCTTGCAAGGTTTTGTGCTCTAATACTGCTGAGCACAGAATATTTACTATGAGCCAGGCTCAGTTCTTGGTGCAGGTGATCCCTTTGTGAATTAGACAGACATGCACTCTACCCTGTGGCGTTTACAGCCATCTAGTTGTGGAGACTGGCAATGAATAAACACGGTAAATAGTTGCCAATAAGTGCCAGAAAGGAAACAGACAGGAATAAAAGGGTAGCATATAAAGAGCCACTTCTGTAGACAAGCGGTCTCAGAAGGCCGAGACCTAAAGAATAAGAAAGCCAACCATATAGAAAGCTGAGAGAAGAATGTTTTAGAGGGAAATGTCAAGGTCCTGAGGCAGGAAAGGGCTTGGTTTGAGGATCTGGCAAAAGCAGGCAGGGCTGCTACCACCAGGCCAGAACACCATGGTAAAAGACTCAAGGGCCCAACCAGGGTGTCCAGCCTGCAGCCCACAGGCCTCATGAAGCTCATCAGGATGGCTATGAACGTGGCCCAACATAAAAACGTAAATTTATTTAAAAACATTATGAGGTTTTATTGTGATTACATGTCACAATATATTTAATGTGTGGCCCAAGACAACTGTTCTTTTTCCAGTGTGGTCCAGAGACACCAAAAGGTTGGACACCCCTGGAAACAGTGGCTTGGCCTAAATTCCACTCCAGGTCTTGCTCCTAGTCCCGTCTTTCCTCTCCTCTCAGCTTATTAACAGGTACTTACAGAGCACGTAACAGCTACTGTAGGAGGAAGAAAAGACAGGAACCCCCTGTCCCTCACCTCCTGTGTGCTGAGATGCTGGCAAGTTTGGGCTGCCACAATGCGCTGTGTTACTCAAAACACTCCTCTAATATTTGCTGAATGGATCAAAGCCCAGCTCTCCTCAGGGCTCTTGAATCAGTTCTACCCCTGCCTGTCACCCTTCTTGGCCCATATCCAGGCAAGCCCTGGAAAGATGGAAAGGATACCATCTTTCTATGTCTGCCTCTATATCCAGCTGAACGGCTAGCCACCTATGAAAGGAACTGGTACCTGGAGTTGGCACGGGTCTTTGCCCAGCGGGCCATAGCTGCATCCATTCCCCCCAAGTGATCCAAGGATAGCACTAGGCCCCTGGCCCTGCAGGGATGGAAAAGCTCCTGGGTAGGGTAGAGCCAGAGCCTTCCTGTGGGCCGCCCTTCTCTTCCTCCTCTGGTCTGCCTGGAAAGATCCTGCCCCTGGGGTTCTCAACTCATCCCTTTTAATCTTTATTGTCCAACCAGTACTACTGAGCACACACACAACTGCAGGCATCAGCAGACACTGGGCGAGCTGAATCCTGGCTAGGGTTGCAAGGATCTCCAAGGATAAAGCTGAACAGCTGGGCTCAGTGAAGGAAGGGAACTAAGTACCCTGGATACCAGGTTATCACGTCAGCCATCTCACTTACATTTTGTTTAATCTGCATATATGCCTGTAAGGGTAGTGAACAGTGACCCCAAAGTACCAAAAGGAGAACTGGAACTCAAAAAATGAAAGAATTTGCTAAAGTCATACAGCCTGAGTACAAAGCTAGGATTCAAACCCAGGTCTCCTGGCTTTAGGGCCTCTGCTGCTATTCTTTTTTTTTTTTTTTTTTTTAAGATTTTATTTATTTTTGGAGAGAGGAGGACAGGGGGGGAAAAGGGAGAAACATTGATCTGAGAGAGAAACATGGATCAGTTGCCTCTTGTACATGCCTGACCAGGGACGGAACTTGCAATCCGGGCATGCCCAGACCAGTATCAACCAGGACCGTTTGCCTTCTGGATGTCTCCCAACCAACTGAGCCACACTGGTCAAGGCCCCACGGCGATTCTTACTCTGCTTTGCTGTGTCTTACCACACAAAGGAATAACCATTATCATAATCCTAAAAGCAAACACTTGTAGAAACAAAACATATCAGGTGTTGTTCTGAACATTTCCCATTTAATTACTCATTTAATCTTCAACAGCTAATGAGACAGGTTCTGTGATGATCTCCATTTTATTTGAACTCTTGAAAAAACAGAGGCCCTGATCAAAGAGATTCAGTAACTTACTCAAGGTCACAAGTGCAAATGGATCTGGTCCAAACCGCCTGCTTCCAGGCAGGTGAAAAGGACTCAAGAGAGTCAACCAAAGCCTTTCCTCCTTGTTCAGTTACTTCCATCCCTCAGTCCGCAGCTGCCTCCTCAGTTACCTGTGCTACCGAAGAGCGCTGCACCTCTCCACCTCACCGGCCACGCCCGGGTGCAGGGGAAACAGATGAGGGACCTGGATCAAGCCAGGTAGGGATGGGTGTTTTTGTCAAGAAAGCAGCGTTGGGGAGGGGAGCCTGGGCGTGTCCTAG